AGGCTCAGTGCCTCCTCGAAGGCGGTGGGGTACCAGCTGGGTGGGTGCATTGGGGCCCAGAGCTGGGGCGCAGCAGAGCCAACCAGTGATGCTAAGACCTACAGGGGGACACCCAGCACCACAGCCCCTTCCTGAGGTGGCTAAGCTCACTTCCTGATCCATGGTCAGCACGGGGGAGACCTCTGAGGCCACTCCAGGGACGAAGCAGCTGACAGAGATGATGAGGATGGTGATGCCTGCTGCAGCGAGCCTGTAGGTGCTGACCAGTCTTAGGCACCATGAAGCGCTTCACACACTTCTCTCTGCGTCTTTACACCGCCCAGTGAGGTGCGTCCTGCCACTGCCCACTGCACAGACGGGGAGAGAGCCCCAGAGCTTGGTGTGTCCACTCATCTGACTATGTGGAAGGGACCAAAGGGAGGGGATCGGGGGAGTGATCTGTTGACCAGCCCTCCACACCCCACGTCTGAGTGCTCAACACCTGCAGTCGTTCCTGAGCAGCTGCCGGGGTAAGCCAGCCAGCCGTCGGTGCAGGCCGGTCAGGGCGTCGGCCAAGCTCTGAGCTACAGTCTCGCTTGCTAGCCTGGTTGCCCTGGAATTTATTTGGGGACCAAATAAAGGAATCAACCTTGTTACTTTTCATCTGCATTCTGCCATTTTTCCTGGGCAAGTGGCTATTCGCAAAGGCCACTTAACCTTTAATCCCATTTTCTCAGCACGAGGGTGCTGCTGGCACTCGTGAACTAGAGGGCAGAGTGAGAGCTTTCGGAGGGACCGGCCGGAGGGTTCCTCAGCAGCGTCTTGAGCTTCCACCCTGCTCTGCGGGCAGGGCAGGGGAGCGAGTCTTGCAATCTTTCCTAGCCTCGTTTCAACAGATGGCAAAACAAACTCCTAATTAAGCACAGGAAAGTTTCCGGCTCAGCACATTTATTTATGATTTTCCGGTCCCTTTGGTGCTCATTTTTCCTCTTTGTCTTCCTGGAGCCCAAGCCAGCTTGTTGCCACCCCGAGCTCCCTTGGAAAGGCAGAATCCTAGTCCGAGAGAGGGGAGGGAGTGTGGGAAAGGGGGCAGGCTGTGGGGGACACGCGGCCACTTGGCTGCGTTTCAAAGGCAAAATGAGAAGGCAGCGCCCTGAGAACTGACAACTTGGCAGGACTGGGCTTTCGTGCTCGCGGCCTTTGGAATAGTTCTAGAAAAATCGCCTGGGGTGAGCTTGGATCAGAGGAGATACACCCTCAATGGGATCCAGCGCCTGTTCCCAGACGGCGGCAAAGTCCAGCGGGCAGACCATGGTCCCCCAGGCAGGAGCTGCCTAGTCCGTGGGGCGTGGCAGTTCCACGGGATTCCAAATCCGTTCCCTTCCCCTCTCCTCATGTGGTGCTGCTGCCAGGGGTTTGTTGTTGCTAGTTGTCACTGAGTTGGCGCCAACTCATGGCGACCTCACGTACAACAGAACGAACATAATGCCCGGTCCTGCGCCATCTTCAGGATCGTCGAGTCCACTGTTGCGGCCACTGTGTATTTTGAGTGTCTTCCAACCTAGGGGGCTCATCTTCCAGCACTATATTGGACAATATTAATATTCTGTTGTGATCCGTAGGGTCTTCACTGGCTGATTCCTGGATGTGTATCCGCCAGGGCTTTCATCCTAGTCTGTCTTAGTCTGGAAGCTCTGCTGAAATCTGTTGGCCATGGGTGACCCTGCTGGGGCTTGAACTACCAGTGGCATAGATTCCAGCATCATAACAACACTCAAGCCATCACAGTATGACAGACTGACAGACGGGTGGTGGTCACACTCTAGCTCCTCCTAAATTTTAAAAAATCTGTTATGAGCATAAGAGAAGAGTGGCATGGCTTCCAGCATCACAGCAACAAACAAGCCACCAAAGGATGACAAACTGATAGACTGCTGAGTGCCTGCGGTTAGGACGAGGGAAATAGCCTCCACCCGATCCAAGGAGAAAAACGCCTAAGTGGCTGCAATGGGCCCGGCTGGAAATGGAACGCTGGGCTGGGCCACATTTTAGAGTGTACTTAACTGGGCATCTGTCCTTCCCCATGAGGGTTTTGGGTCAAGAGGCTCACTTTCCAAGCCCAGAAGTCTGAGTCTGCAAAGAGAAAATGACTTCCTGGGCTTTGTCACCCTCAGCATGCTCAGAGAGAGGCAACTGACATTTGATTATCTCCTGGATCACACGGAGACGAGAGGCAAACGACTCTGAAAGACAGCGCTGTCAGGACAACAATGTCACCACCAGAAACACGAGCGCAAATAACCTTCCTGAGCTGGTCTCTGACTCACGCTCTCTCTGCTGCTGAGAGCCTCTCTCATGGCCCGTGACCGGCTCTGCAGTGCCGTGGGCTGTCAGGGCTGCCTCTGCACCCTTGGAGCCTCGGGGTGGGAGGCCGTGTGGCTGCCTTCCCAGGGCCCCTTCGCCCAGGACTCAGAGAAGGATGGGGCCATGGGCCTGCAGCTCCTGAGCTAACTGGCAGCCCCTTGCTGCCCTGGGGGGCAGGGGCTCTGGATAAGAGAAGAAGGCAAAATGGCCATCAGGAGGGGACAGGGTAGCCCACCACCGAGAAAAAGAGCAGTCCCTTTCTAAAGCAACTGACAGCTGATTCCACTCTGTAAACCTGACTCTGGGGAGGCAAGGACTCCGGCAGCAGGATGCAGCAGAAGGGCGGTTTTGGGGTGCTCGGAGGCCTGAGGGCCTGCCTGGGAGCCACTCAGTTCCTCTCAGCAGGTGGGAGCGGGGTCTGACTCCCGTCCATCTGGCTGTCTGGTCTCCTGCACCGAGACAATCCTTTCTTTACCGCCTGCCTCCTCTCCCCTTCACGATCATCTCCTCTTAATGAGTGTACTGCTCACCAGACACAGCGAAATCGGCAGTGCACAGGCACGGGGGGCGCCATGGAAGCCATCAACCATCATTATCTGGGCAGCCGTCCCCTCGAGGGCTGACACGAGAATCCATCACGCCGGCGAGGGCAGGAGCATCCCCACCACCTCTTCCCACCCAGTTCCTGTTGCCCCGGATGAGGGGGAGAAGACAGGAGACTCCCCGAGCTGTGGATGCAGCAGGTGAGGGACAGCCAGGCCCCGCAGGGCAGCTCACACCTTCAGGGCCCTGCAACCCGCGGCAGGGCGTGAGTAGCCGGGGCAGCAGAATGGGCCAGGGAAGCGACGGGGGAAGACACCTTTCTCCAAACACTCCCTCTTCTGAAGATTACCAGGCCTTCAAACACTTCAGACGAGCAGACAAACAAGCAGAAGGGGACACACGGGCAGCTGTGCCCCCACTGACGCCGGCTTTTGGACACACTGCCTCCCAGTACCGGCGGGTCTCCACTCCAACACTTTGTCCTTGGGGCTAATGTGGGCCTCATGTTCTACCAAACGAGTTCTCCTTTCCCCCTCGATGGACACGGGATTTCAACCCAGGGCTTTGGGACTTGAGAAGGAGATGTGGGACCAATGTCCACAGGTGAGTACAAGATCAGACCAACTGAGCGGGAGACGAGGAATTCCACCCACTCAGGTAGAGTCCAGGTACCAGGCAGGTGTCCTCCCGGCTCCCTCTTCTCGGCGGGCTGGTGAAGGACATGTTCTTCCAGTCACAGAGGCCCTGGGGCTCACCTGCCGGGTGACTTACTCCTGGGGTGGCCTGCTTCAGACCTGAGTCACAATTTAGCTTGGTTGTACCCTCATCTTGGAAGGAAGAAGGACCAAGAGTGGGAGGAAGTGACAGGCCGGCAGGTTGGCCTTACCTGAGGAAGGAGTACCCAGCACTCACACTGCCCTCAGAGTGGGCGGGGCCTTCCCTCAGAGTGGGCAGGGCCTCTCTAGTGAGCACCAGGCCGTGAATCTGCAAAGGCTGGAGGAACCTGGCTGCTGGGCATGTCATGGAGCCTGCTCCTGTGGGGGCTGGGGGCTGAGCTAGATGACCCTAACCGTCCCTCCCAATGAAGATGTCCAGACTTCCTTGGTACTGTGGCACCTTGGGCTGGGACCTTGTAAGCCTGAGGGATAGGAATGGGGGGAGGGGTGAGGAAATGCCAGAATTACTGGAAGTCACTGGCATCAGAAACGGCCGTGACTCAGAAGGAGCATGCATACCCAGAGTGCTGATGAGGGCGAGGAGTGTGCCTGCTGGGAGAGGGAGCCGGGGACAGGGTCAGGAGGGAGGAGCCCAACCTTGGCATCCCCCTACTGAGGGGCAGGTGAGGCACTGGGATGGCCTCCCGGAGGCTGGACAAGCCCAGTGGGCCAGGCTCTTCACTCAGGAGAGCAACAGCCCCTCTGCTTTTGGACCAAGCAACACGAATGTCCGGCTGATCCCAGGGCCAGCACTGGCTGACAGGGCAGCAGGAACTCCTCACCCTCCTGTCCCAGAGGTCCAGGTGGATCAGCAGCTGGCCCCCTCCCTGGGTGGCTGGAAATGGAGGTGCTCCCTACATTAAGCCTGACTGGGGGGCACAGGCTCCATACTGCAGGGCTTTACTCAGCTTAGAAGGCACTGTGGACGGGTGTCTTGTCATGCCCTAGCGGCCAGGAATGCGGAGGCAGAGTGGCTGCTGCCACGGCCCAATGGGTTTTATGGTTGTGCCACACGGTGCATGCGAAAACTCAGGAACGACACTGCTCCTGGACTCTGAAGGGTGGACAGCCACCCTAGCCTCGGGCTCTGTGGGGATGTGGCATGGGCTTGTGGGAAAGATGCTGCTGCTGGGTTCTAGTCCCTGCTCAGTCCTCACAACGTGACCTTGAGAAGCGCTTACCTTTCTGTGGTACTAAATTCCCCCACCTGTACAAGGTAGGTAGAGCACCTGCCTCCTCCCTGCCTTGTGCACAAGTGGGAGAACCAGGAGGTCTTGAGTCAACTGGGACTTGCCACCACATTCCAGCTGTGGCTGGGACCCTCACACGCCGAACCAGGAAAGGTTCAGGAGAGACGAGGGGAGAAAGGGCAGAGACTCGGACGCTTCTCAGACTCACCGATCCATCTCATCAGCGAGGTCAGGATCTGCAGGTACTTGGTCTTCTGGACATCAAAGAAGGTGAAGGGTCCCAGAAGGAGGGTGAAGACTGCCTGGGAGATGGAAACAAGAGTGAGGGAGTGCAGAGGTCAGGCCGCGTAGGCAAGCCATCTGCGTGGGGAAGAACAGCGTCATTCACACGGCCCACTGCAGCTGAAACCCATCCTGCCTCAGCTGCGCACTTGGATCAGCTGAGGCTCCCTGGGGTCAAACAGCATTGCCTTGGACTCATTTTAAGTGCCAGGGGAGGAATGCCACGCCTCCCTGACATTCCTCGCACTTGACTGTTCTGAGTCTGTTTTGCTTTCCCGGCATTGTCCCGGGGTATCACCCACTCAACTCTGTTCTTCTCAACAAACATTTAAGGAGGGTCCTTGTGCCCAGCACTGAGCTAAGAGTGAACACGGATCAGGTATGAGATGGTAGGAGGACAAGGATACAAAAGAAACACCAGACATGTCTCCACCCTCATGGTCCCGCTGGGAAGAAAGGACAAGGACGAGGGAACCCAGGAGCCCCAACACAGCAGAGCAGCAGGAGTGCACATAGCCAAAGGGTCCAGAGAAAAGGCTCACCTACGATGTCACTAACCAGCAACATTTTTAGCTTTCTTAAAGAGAAGGGGAAGCCGAGAGAACAAGAGCCAGGGACTTCCAGAGCATATCACTCAGAGAAATAGCCCGGACTGAGACGAAAAGGAACTGGGGGTAGTGCTGGTTCAGTGGCAGAGTTCTTGCCTTCCGTGCGGGAGACCCAGGTTCGACTCCTGGCCAATGCACCTCATGTGCAGCCACCACCCGCCTGTCAGTGGAGGCTTGTGTGTTGCTGTGATGCTAAACAGATGTCAGAGGAGCTTCCAGACTAAGACAGACTAGGAAGAAAGGCCTGGTGATCTATTTCCCAAAACCAGCCAATGAAAACCCTATGGATCCCAGTGGCTGACCCCGTTGTGCGCGGGGCTGCCACGGGTCAGGGCCGACTTCATGGCAGCTAACAACCACAGGAAAAGGAGCTATGTCTAGGGAAATCTGGAGAACAGGGAGAGTGTTTACTTGTTTTTCAAACTCCACCTCAGAAAACTGGTCTATGGGACACCAGAACCCTCATGGCAGGTAGGGGTGGCAGCCAAGGGAGGACAGGACTTCCAGGCCAAACTGGCTGCTGAGGGAGCAGAGGAATTAAAAGCTGCTTGTTGGAGTTAAGATGATGGCACCATATCCAATCTGCCACTTGGAAGCAGCACACGGCATCAGACCTTATTAACATCTACGCTGTGACATTTTACGGCGTTATGGTAATGACGCCCACCAGAGACGCAAGGCGGCCGGCTCCAGAGCCGGCGTGTCGGTTAAAAGGACCCACTCTGGGGAGCCGAGCCCTGGCCGTGATCTGGGTGAACGCGTCGTAGCTGCGTGGCTGGCCAGGCCCCATGACAGGCGGGCAGAGGCTCCGCAGAAGAGCCGCTGAGCCGTCCTCCCCGCCCCCTCAGCAAGCAAAGCAGGATGTGGGAGAAGCTGTGACCTCTTATCCAAGTCCATTATCTGTGAGCACCAATGACACAGGAGACTAAAGCGCTGCTTAAGGAAAAGGCTTTCATTAGCTGGGGTGGAGAGGGCCTCTTGGCAGTCACCAGGGTTGGGGGAGTTCTGGAAAGAGGCACTTTCTGCTGGGGACTCAGATCATCTGCTTCTGTTCAGAATATGGGGAAGGCGAGTGTTTCTATTAGACTGGGGAGGACGGGAAGGGCCTCTCCTGGAGAAAGAAAGGGCAGCCTGAGGCCAGCCTGTGGGGCCCGGGAGAGGCCCGGGACAGGAGGTGGAGTTCGTGGAAGGCCCGGCTCCCTGGCGGCACATCTGTACGCGGCACCATCCGTAAGTCATTTAGGAAAATTACCACTTCAGGGCACCTTCCGCTGATGACTTTCTCTTTTGAAGGACGGAAGAGGAGAGGACAGGCGGAAGAATAAATCCGAGCCATTTTTGCCACAATGTTCCCAAATACCTGCTGCCTGGAAGCTGGACTCTGGACCTCCAACCCTGGAGAACTCGGGGTCAGGCCCCCTGCCGGACCCCAAGGCCGCCAGTGGAAAGCATGGCATGGATGCCCACCTTCCACGGGTGGGCTGGCTGTGGATACTAGGAATCTTGGGGTAGCTTACGCTGGAGGTCAGATCTCATCTTGGACTAAGGACTGATCTTTGGGAGGTGAGACTCCATGAGCAGGCAGGCAGAGAATTCTGCTGCTGCAGATGGGCACAGGCCCTTCCCCCGGGGCACCTCCTCAGATGCGGAGCTCAACTTCCTCCTCCTCGGCAGATGTTCGTCAGGAGCCTACCACACGTGTGGGCTGCCTGGGTGATGCAAACAGTTAAGTGCTCTACTACTAGCCAAAAGGTTGGTGGTTCGAACCCACCCAGAGGCATCTTGGAACGCAGGCCTGGTGATCTGCTTCTGAGAGGTCACAGCCTTGAAAATCCTATGGAGCAGTTCTACTCTGCACGCATGGGGTCACCATGAGTCAGATTCGACTGGATGACAATTAACAACATCACACACACGCCCTGTTTTGCAAAACCCTGTAGGATGAGGTTCCAGCCCACTGACGGCATCTCACACACAGAGCCACACCTCAAAAAGGTAAACCAGGTACCGATGAGAGTGATGGGGAGTTTGAACCTACAGGAGCTCAGAATGAGGCTCACACCTGCCTGGGAACCTCAGAGCCAGTTCTAGGAACAGCAGGTCTACCTCTGAGTGGGACTTGGTGGAGGCTCTTCATGCAGACTTAGCTGACAGCTGTGACATCCATGGCTGGGTGGAAGTTGGTATGTATTTTTTTTTTTTTTAATGCTCAGGAACTCAGACCAACTGCACCACTGAGCAAGCCTGGGGCCCACTTAGGCACAGCACAGACGTGCAGACAGCAGCCCTGCCGTAGGGAAGCATGCTCATACATCAGAGGGAGCCCAGAAGAAGGGGAGGCTGAGAGCTGGGGCTAATTAAGGAACAGGTGTCCTCTGCAAATCAGTTAGAGCCGGAGCGTGGCAGCAGCCACAGGAGCAGACATCCAGAGCGGAAAGGAGAGGACGCGGCACCCAGGCTGCCAAGCCACCTTGTGGGTGCCGGGATTGTTGCGAGGAATGGGGAGGCAGAAGAAATGGGCCCGGACAGTCCAGTGGGCCTGGGAGTGGCTAAGCTCATCTCTGAACACAAAGCAATTGAGTGTGGACCTTGGTTTTCCTGTTCCTTTTTTAAAAACGAAGGAATAAAAAGCTCAGAGACGGCCTATCCTCTTGGGTCTTCCAGTCTAGCCCATATGACATTATAAATTAGCTGGCTCCTGAGCAATTTTCCAACTCCCAAATGCCATTGATCAGTTCAAACCCAGTCTCTGTTCAAGGACTCTTCCGCCCAACTCATTACAGGAGGCAGGGACACCAAGTGCCACAGCCAAATGCATTTCTTAAATAAAAAGAAAAGCACAGCTCTTTGGTTTCTAATGAAAGCTTCAAACTGGTCACGGGGAATACAGTGGGGGGCAGACCTAGGGTGGGGGGAGGTAGGCAGGGCTGCTTGTGGTGCTCTCTTCTTGAGGCGCTGAATTTGGACGGGCACTGTTATGGACTGAACTGTGTCCCCCAAAAATGTATATCAACTGGGCTAGGCCATGATTCCCAGTACTGTGTGGTTGTCCACCATTTTGTGATCTGATGTGATTATCTTACATGTTGTAAATCCTATCTCTATGATGTTAATAAGGCAGAATTAGAGGCAGTGATGTTAATGAGGCAGGACTTAATCTACAGGATTAGGTTGTATGTTCACTCAATCTCTTTTGAGATATAAAAAAGAGAACTAAGCAGAGAGGAGAGGGACCTCATACCACCAAGAAGGAAGAGCTGGGAGCAGAGCGTGTCCTTTGGAGCTGGGGTCCCTGTACTGAGAAGCTTGTAGATCTGGGGAAGACTGATGACAAGGACCTTCCCCCAGAGAGAGACAGAGAAAGAAAGCCTTCCCCTGGAGCTGGCATCCTGAATTCAGACTTCTAGCCTCCTAGACTGTGAGAGAATAAACTTCTGTTTGTTAAAGCCATCCACTTGTGGTATTTCTGTTATAGCAGCACTAGATGACTAAGACACCAAGGCTCCATTCACAACCTTGCCAGGTCCTGATGGAGACCAGGCTGCTCATGTGCCCAAGGCTCTGCAGGGGCTCCTTGGCTGTGACTCTTTGAGATGGTACCAGGGATACCCTGAATTTAACACTTCAAACGCTGTCAGTGTGCCGTACTATGGTGGCTTGTGTGTTGGGTTGCTATGATGCTGGAAATACCAGCAGGTTCATCCGTGGTGGACAGGTTTTAGTGGAACTTCCAGACTAAAACAGACTAGGAAGAAAGGCCTGGCAGGTATACTTCCAAAAATGAGTCAATGAAAACCTTTGGGTTACAAGAGAATATTGTCCAATATAGTGCTGGAAAATGAGCCCCCTAGGTTGGAAGGCACTCAAAATACACAGTGGCTGCAACAATGATCTTAAGCACACCGATGACCATGAAGATGGTGCAGGACAGGACAATACTTTGTTCTGGTGTACATCATGGGGTCACCATGAGTTGGAGCCGACTTGACAGCAGTGAACAACAACACAGTTCAACAGGGCCACCTCTCTGGGCTCCCCGTATCAGTTATTCATGCCACCAACCTCCGACTGCTCAGGCTCCAAGCTTCTGATATTTCTGACTCCTTCCTAACTCCGTGTTAGTCTGCGATGCCCCCTGCAACAAATCGCCATCAACGTGGAGGCTTAAACCACAGAAGCTTGTCTCTCAGTTCTGGAGGCCAGGAGTCCAAAGTCAGCAGAGCCTCACTCCCAACAGGGGCTCTAGGAGGGAGTCCGTCCCTTGCCGCTTTCAGCTGCTGGTGGCTGCCCTGGCCTTCCTGGGCTTGTGGCAGCATCCCTCTAACCTCTGCCTCGGTGTTCACATCGCCTCCTCCTCTCTGTGTGTGTCACCTCCCTCTGCCTCTCTTAGGACACTTGTGATGGCATGCAGG